TCCACGGGATCTGGACAGACTGAAAACAGAAGCCCGGTTAACCACCTGCGGCTCGTCACACGGACCAATCGGCTCGTGTGCTGACAATGTCAACCATAAAAGGAGCACTGAAGGAAGAACGGCCATACCCAGGAGCAGGTCTGAACCACTATTTGATAGGGTTGTCACGATACTAACATTTTCAACTGGATACCGATACTCAGGAAAACAATCGATACTCAATACCATTTTCAATACCTTTAAGGATAAAAATAAAGACCCCAAAATTTGACTGAATTTTGACAGCTTAGTGTCTTTTGTTTCAAACGTACCTGTTACTGATGTAATCGTGGCCAGTGGCCCTCTTTAATGTTGGCTTGTTATCATTAGTTATTAGCCGCAGCTAGCAATTCAAGGCTAACGTCACGTTAATTATCATAAACAACGTAAGTAAATAAATCTGAGAGAAGGGGCGCGTGGGGGGGCTTGGTATCGATACTTTTGAAAATGAGTATTGTCTCCGGGTACAGCGTTTTAGTATCAATACTTTTTAGAGTATTGATACTTTTCCCACCCGGTATTTGACCCATTTGTTGTGGTTTGTTTTGATGAAAGCAGCCTCTGTGCTAAAGACTACACGTGCATTAAAGAGGCTGACCTACGTTTGACCTGTGTGTGACATGGCACGGGACTACGGCTCTTAGGGTCGGAAACCCCTGGCTGTCTCCCGGAGCCTCTCGGGCCTGTGCTCACCGGCGTGCCGTCTCCTGAGGGTGACGTAAGGCAACAGGTCATGGCGGGTGATAATCCTCAGGAGCTGGAGGACGTGTCGGAAGTTGGTCTCGTCGCAGCGGCCCTGGCGCTCCAGGGCCAGCAGGAAGTCCCTCCCGCTGCGGATGCCCCCCCGCTCGTACTCGTCGATCACGTCCACAAACAGGAAGGAGAGCACGCGCACGTCCCGGTGCGTGAGCTGAGCGCCCACGATGTCGAACATGCGGTGGAGCGAGTACAGGCCGTGGGCGTGGTCCTCCGCCTCCTCCGGCCAGGGCTCCAGGCCCCGGTCCCGCCGGGACGAGCTGGAGGAGGCGGGGGCTTTCCGGCTGGACGCCTCCCCGCTGGGGCGGGCCACGCTGGGGCAGGCCGGCCGCCGGACCACGGCCCGGTAGCCCAGGGCTCCGGACGTGGCCCCGCTGTGGCCCGAGTCCACCTGATGGGCGTGGAAGGCAGGCGGAGCGTGCTGGGCAGAGGAGCTCCGGGCCAGCGGGGGGGGGGATGCCGCCGTTGGGGAGCTGGGCTTGTTGTGATGTCATCGCGGGGCTCAGCGGGGACGAGGGGCGTGAGAATCCCACCGACTTCCTCTGCTCCAGCCGGTACTCTGTGAGAGACAGGGGGAAATCACACCACAATGGGAGACAGGAAAACCAACAGGGCAGAGGATCCCGAACCCAGAGCGGCTGTAAGAAACATGGAGGAGAACTGGGCCTCCACACGGACCACAGAGGTACGTCTGACTAACTAAGCATCGTCTGCTGGTGCATTTGCAGCTTCCACCAACACGCCACAAGGCTGTAAGGGTGTGTTTCAGATTCCTATCACCGATCTCTGAATAGTGGACGTTTGAGAATCGAGCTGTTACAGAGCCATCTCTGATCTTCCCTTTACTGGAAAGCTGCATCCAATCAACTGAACAGCTTCCTAAATACAAACAGTCTCTTAGGTGGATTTCAGTCTGGATTTAGAAAAACATCAAACATGAGACGGCAACTACTGTGGTCTTAAATGATGTGATGATATCTGAACAGTGGAGCAGGTAGAGCATCTATCTGGTCTTGTGCTGCTGCCCTTGATACCATGGACCAGGAAATCCTTCTGGGCAGACTGGAGAACTGGGTGGGGTTGCCAGGTCAAGCTCTCAGTTGGGCCACATCAAACCATGAAAGCAGGAGCATTGTTGGATAAATGTGAGTGTATCCCGCTGAGCTGTGGAGTCCCTCATGGCTCAGTTGTTGGGTTACTAGCATTCGACCTCCACATCCGTTCCCTGGGTCAGAGCATCCAGAGCTGTAATGTTTCCTCTCACAGCTATGCAGATGAATCTCAGACCTACTGGGCTCTTTCACCGAATCACTCCGGTCCATTAGACCCCTCCACGTGTGGAAGAAACCAAGCTTTCTTCAGGATAACACAGAAACTGTTCTAGTTGGCAGCACAGTACACAGAATGAGAGTCCTCACCCAGCTTGAATCCAGAGGGCTCAATACCAAATCCAGGGCCTTGGAATTTCAACTGACCCCGATCTGAACTTTCTGCGGCCACACTGAAGCTGTGACTAAGACAGCTTTTGAGCACCTCGGACAAATCTGAGAGTCAGAGAACAGTGCTGTTCACTAATCACTTCAGGATATGGGGCCGGAATGCATTACAGGCCTGAAGAGCAGAAACCAGGAAAAGCTCTGCGATCTTGAGGAAGAGTCATTTGATGAACTGACAGGAAATGCCAGCTGCCTGGCACACACATTTGAAGCTTTGTTTTTTTTTCCTCATGCAGATGGAGACAGCTCTTCTCCAGAAACCACTTCAGTTTCTGGGAACATCTGGGGTAATTTGTCATACCCGGAAAGAGGCCAGTCCCTTTATAGTTTGTCAGTTCAGCCCACAAACAGTCGGTGGGTTACATCATTTTAATCTCTGCATGTCAGACCAGAGCCAAGAGTAGCTTCCATCGCTTCTAAAAAACTAAACACAACTCAAGCAAAGATCTAAAAGTTGTGCGCATTGCTGCCACTTTATCCAGCTTTTACACATCCTTCTGTCATGGAATCTGCATACACATCATAAACAGCTATGAAAAAACAGATATGGGTGAGCAGCTGTGCCACTCAAGGCCTTCACATAAACAGAAGTGTCCATGTTTTAGTCAAAGTACCAGGGAAAGAAGATGTCTCAGAAGGTTGGACAAATCTGGAGGTGAAGATAATGCTGGTTTGCTTAAGCTAAACGAGGAACATTAAACTTTCTTTATCTTCCTTACGCAGCAGAAAAACAAAAACATGGAGTCATTTTATTCCCATCAGGTGACAACAACAATGTCACAAACCATAAAGGGCACTCCTTCGTGAGACTATGGTGGGGAACATGATAACTCCAGCTGTGAACAGATGTGCTCAGCTGTCTCCTGTGGGTCTGGGAAAACCAACAACGTGAAAGGAAAAGCTTCAACAACCAGCACACATACAGATTCCCACTAGCGTTCTGATCACTCCATTAATGTCAAAACAATCGTGATGTAAACCAGGCGTCAGATTTACGACGTGCCACGAGAAAGTATTTGGAGTACAACATTGACATGTTAATTCATCCAAACGACTGTCACTTAGAGAAATAGTGGACGGTTTCTTGTACGCAACCAGCTCCAAGCACTCCCAGCTGTGTATCAAAACAAGACGTGGGTCAACCAGCCCCGGACCTGACGGAAGTTAGCAAAGAAGCTAACGAACAGACTCACAACATGCCCGATGCTGGCGTTAAACAGCAGGCAACCGGCCCACCAATCCCTCCACTACTCTGCCATTAACCAGCTGAAAACGTTAGTCAACTACACTGAATTTATCACAACACAGGGATACTTTAAAAGATGGCTGATTGTAGGATTTAGTTCACGCTTACTCACGGGGCTGCCCTCACTCACCCCAATGTACTTCAAACGTGTAAAACAAGTTCAAGCACAGGGACGAAACATAAAGGCCATAATCGAAACATACATTTGGTTTACCTTGAATGTTCTGGATATTCCTAGGCTTGCTGAGAGTAGAAAAGCTCGGTGGATAAATAACGTTCGGCTAGCTTCTCATGGTCTGATAGCTAAGCTCCTTTCGGGGAAAAAACACGTTTAGCTACATTTAAGGGTTACATTCGAGTGCGCGATAATTGTTTGAATAATAACTTTGAACTTTCTTCATGTACACCATGAATTTCAAAGTTCTGGAATATGACAGCATTTAATGGTTTTGATGCGCATAGCGACTGCAAGATGAAAAAAAGCAAACAATTTAGGATCTTTAGCTAAAATGAAAGAACTTCCTGTTTTCGGCTTGAATTCACTTCCGGTTCAACCGCTCCTCCGTCCGCTCCTCTTGTGGAGATAAACTCATGGGTAAAAATAACAAGAACATGTTTAAATATTATTTATATAAAATACAAATGTTCTGTAAAAAAGCATGAACACTACAGCATCCTAAATTATTTAGTAGTGGATGTTGGTTTATAAAGACTGTTAAATTTAATTTGATAGCTGTTTGTACTTGTGCCTTTTTTCAATGTTTTGAGTTTTGTCGGACTTTAAGTAATCAAATATATCTTATCACTAAAATGCGTGTTTTTTATCTTAAATATCTCAAGGTACCATTGGAAAACTATGACCTGGGCTCATAATTACAAAAATAAAAAAAATAAATAAATACTGTGCCCATTAGTATAAGTTCCCATTTCTGCAAAGAAATAATTACTCTGTATCATGCTATTACAAATAGTCAGCGTGTTAAGGATTCAAGAATACTTAATTGTTATAACAGGTATTACATGAGATGGAACAAAATAATTTACTTAAGGTCCCTGTTGCACCTAATCTGTGCAAATAAAATTATGTACAGGATAGGATATATATATGTCCTATCCTGTACATACTTTTTATTTAAACAGATTAGGTGCAACAGGGACCTTAAGTAAATTATTTATATATATATAAATATATATGTACACATACATAGCCAAGTTAATTATTGGTTTTCTGGATCAATATTCATCTTAAGGCTCTTCGGGAGAAACAAATAATGATGCATTACTTGGGATTATATTTTAAATGGATTCTAATAACCAAATGCGTTTGGCTTCTTTGTGTCACCCAAGAAATGGTCTGGCCCATGGACAAATCTAGCTGATGAATTCATATGATAGTGCACAGAATTATGTATACGGAGAAAGGGAGAGATAAATTAATTAAGACTGATACATAACTGACATGATACAGGATTATGGAAACATGTTTATTGAAAAGTCGTTCTGAATTACATCTTGTTCTATAACCTCTACCATGAATCAAAATATTTGCAGGGGAAAGTTGGGGGCATGTCTTCAGGAATGGACTTATCAGTGATGACTCAATCAAAGCAAATGCATGAGAAATGCACAGGAGGCCCCTCTGGTAGAATCCTTTATTCAACACCTTTCATGAACTCCAGGAACTCTGTGAATGAAAACAAAGCAGTGAAAGTCTGAACCTTTAAAAAAGGTGTTTCATACAAACCCTGACACACAAGATGAAAACACTCCACCTTGTCAACTACTCTTATACTGGTTATCTTCTCATGACACTTTGACCTTTCATTGATGTACTGTAACAAAAAAATCCCCCATTATGAAACGATTTATTCATTTCTAGGACTAATGGTGGATATATATGTGTGTGGCAGCGTTCACCCTGGACAGGTTGTTAGGCCAACACTAAACCGACACACATGCTCACACAATAAATAATAAAAAAAATGACTCATACATATGTGTTTATTGACAATGGGATGGAGCTAGAGAACCATAGAAACATGCAAACTGTACAAAGAAGTAGCCCAGGTCAAACTCAGCCCATGTAGCTACCAGGTACTGTTCAGTCCCCTAAGGTACCACAATTCTGCAGAACGTAATATGCATACTACCTGATATGTATTTAACCGTTACCGTTTCCGTAAAGACTTCTTTATTTAGCCTGACTCATATCTAACTCTTCTGCCATGTAGACAACTTTGAATGGCCTTGCTGAGGACTGACACATAACTGAAGAAAATATGAAAATTATATTAAGAATAAAGTGGAGTTCCGACTGCTAGATGACTCAAATGACCAAATGTGACATAACATGAGATAATAAAGGCCACGGTCCTGTTAGCAATCTGTGTTCAACCATGGTAGTACATGGGCACTCTTTGGCTGTTTTTCCTCACATCACAAATTATTATCTCTCCGATTAAATATTTTCTGATGTTTTCCCCTTTTTTGGTTGTTTGGATTCCCTTTTGGCCCATAACTACCAAGATGTGGTTATTCAGTGTCAGTGAGTGCATCCTATCAGAATACTATGGGAATCCAAATGTCTTGGCCATGGATAAGTGATTTTTTAGAGTGTACAAAACAAACAAACAAACAAACAAACAAACAAACAAACACAAACCCATGGAGCAGATTTTTCCATGACCTGCCGTCAGGGTCTCTGGGGCTGTTGACATGTTAGTTGGATGATGTTTTCACAGATTACAATTCCTAGTTTTGGTTAAAAAAGCATAAATATGGACACTGAAGCATTGCAGAAATTTTTATATTTCAATATATTTTGTTTAGACGGACCACTTCTGACTGTTTTCTTCTCCTTTGTGTCTCAATTGTCTCTTTTTCAGTGTTAGTTTCACCTGGAGGCTGACTGAGGGCTGGTTCACACTTCACTGTAAAAAGCTGCTTGGGACTCGCCAATACTGCCAGACTTAAACAAAAGAAGTCTTCTTGCTGCAGTATTTTGTGCTGAATTGGTATAGTTTTTTCCTCATGTGATTTGTTTCATCTTAAGAGATCGCCAGCTTTTGTGAGCTCCACCCCTCAGCCACCTGCGGCCCTCTGGGGTTTGTTTTAGACGCTGCTTTTCTTTCCTTTGCTTGGATATCTCCTATTGCAGAGCATAGCCTCAACCTTAGTTCTGGTCAAGAAATTTGAGATGATGTTCTGATAACAAGTTATCCAGAGGGTTAGTTCCCTGTACATTTAGTTGGGATGGGAGGTGCTCAATCATCAGTCATCATATTTACATTCTATTATCTTGCAGCCTTTTATATTAATAAAGACAGATTTCTGATAAACCACAGCGCAAGTTAGAAGTCACCATGAAGCCTCCTGCTGTGAGGAATGATTGAAACAGAGTGGTATATGTAAGAAAAACAAGGGATTGAGAAGACATTTGTTCATTTATATGACCTTACACACAATAACCACTGTATGTGTGGTTAGATGTTCATGCATGAGAAGAGACGGATTGTATTTCTGTGTTTTTTCCGTGTAAACTACTGAACCATATGGGGCTGTAATGCATGTGCTGGTTCCCATACCATCATAATCGATTTTGCCGTCGTTGTTTTTATCTCCATCTTTCATCAGCTCCTCTATGTCGTCTTCAGTGATGGCCTCTCCGGTGGACTCCAGCATGGCCTTCAGCTCATCTAGGTCTATGTATCCGTCTCCGTTCCTGTCGACAGCAGGCAGAACCGGGTGTCAGCACTCTCTACTAGGCCTCACGGCCTTTCCTCAGATCTGACGGCAGGCCTGTGCGATGTCAGCGGCGATGGAAAAAACTCACTTGTCAAACATCCGGAAGAGTTCAGCCAACTCCTCCTCTGACTTTCCTTTGCTCTCCTCCTTCATGCAGCGGACCATCATAACCAGGAATTCATCAAAGTCTACTGTTCCACTGCCTGTCAACATAGGGCATGATGTGATCACGGGATAAGGCATGTGATTACCTCTGTGTTCTGGGGGTCATAGAGGTGCCTAGAAAGCCACTTAATGACTGTCTATGTCCCTTTAAATCCGGCCATGGGACAAACGTGCTCCCGATGGCAGTAAACATGCTGGAATGTGTGACCTACCGTCTTCATCCACCTCGTCGATCATCTCCTGTAACTCCTCGGGGGTCGGATTCTGTCCCAGCATCCTCATGACTTTCCCTAACTCTTTGGTGCTGATGCAGCCATCCTCAGCATCCTGGATGAAGATGTCGAAGGCGGCCTTGAACTCTGGAAAAGATTGAGCTGGAGTCACTAAAAAGTAAGGAGGGGGTTATGCATATGTTACTGCATAAAACAAACAAAGAAATCTAAATCAATCGTCAGATAAGAAGCAGCCTAATATCACAAACGGTATACCAGCGGGAGCAGCTAAAAAAAGCCCACACCAGTGAGGCATTACCAGCTGAAGAAAGCAACAGGGGGCAAGTCCAGACCACTTGGACCTGATTGGCATTGTGCTAAAGTTCTGCTTCAAGCCCACATTGGGCTGTCGATCTGATTTGCTTTTTGAACTCCCCTCTTTGCTTATCTGCTCGTGTGGCCCCAGTAGTTGTTGTCACCCATCTCCCTTTCAGTATCGCACGGGCGGCTGCTTTGTGAAGATCATGTTTTTCATAGTCTTCTATTTTTCCACTGTCCACACCACTGTCCAATCTCTGCTGCTGAGTCAGTGCATTTCCTGTCTCCAAGCCTTCCCTGTATACCGTACCACTCATACTGGTTGAACATGATCAGGACCGGTCTTTAATACAACCACAAAACACAACCATCACGCCTGTTCACCATTTTACTGTTTTGTCTTGACTACAGACTTACGTTCTGGGTTAGAAAACAGCAAATTTACTGCGTTTGGGCTAAAAAAGAATTCAGGTCAAAGCAAGAAATGAAACACATATTGACCTACAGTTGCTGCCACATCCTCTAGAAGTCCCAAATATGGGGAGATTATTGGTTCTTACTGATTTCCTGAATCACAGGTTACTGGTAAACTAGCGGGCGGATGAATGAAAGCAATTTTGTGCAAACAAAAACCCAAATAAATATGTTCTTACACAGACTTCTGCACATTCTGTTGATTTGAACCACCTCAGCTCACTGCTTTTAAAGCATAGAAATAGCGAATCTACTAATACACTGTATGCATGTACTCGATGCACAAGCACAGAGGCTGGAAAGGTGACCCTGTAGTAGTCCAGCACGCCGCCGGCATTCTGCTATGGCCTTTTGAGTAACCCCACACCCAACCACACAGCCTCATCTAACCTCTTCACGCCTAACAAACCCACATGATACTGTCGATATTGAGATGAAATGAAACATTGAAGCTGGATTAAGCCATGTGTCGTGTGCACATGTGCTAACACGTGCTAACACGTGCTTGGAAATGATCCCACGGGCAATATCGTTTACTCATCCCCAGACTTTAGACACCGCGGTCCAGCTCTGTTCTGCGGAGGAAAATGTGCAGAATGGATTTGCCAATGGCTGCCAAGTTTATCCTGAATGACTGACGGGCTCAAGATTTCCTCCACAGTTTTAATGAGACATGTGCTGCATCACGTATAAACGAATCAGTCAAATTTATGGATTAATCAATGAATAAAAAGGCAGGTTCGGTATAAAAAGGCATAAAAATGTGTAGAAATGCAATGTTTTTGTGCTGCTGTTGTGCTTCTACTATATATATTAATACAGACATCAAACAAATGAATTGTTTTAAAGTAATGAAGTATTAACATGAAATATTATCTTTTGTTCCAGTTATTATTATTAGGTGTAGTGTCCTCACCATTTTTCTGTTCTTCTGTCAAGTTCTCAACCTGGAAGGGTAAAGAAAGACAGCAAGTGTTTTATGTCTGTATGCAGGACCACATTTTTCACATTTTATTTCATGACTGGATCTTCAATTCTTCCGATGACAGCTATTCTCAGTATGGTTGGACTGTAACGGGACACTTTAGTTCACTTGCTATTCTTGTTTTATGGGTGTGGGGAACTGATGTGGTCAGCTGTTCCTGCGTTGCTGTTCTTTGTTCTATTGTCAGACACAGAAATATGATCTAATCACGGTAGTTTGCTGTACTTTGTACTTCTGACACCTGTTCTTACACTTAAGAACAGTCAAAATCTTGTTCAAATATAAAATGATATTATTTAGACGGGTTGTCATTGCCGTCAGAATAAAAACATTTGATTTATTCCATATATTGTTTAGATTTTTATATACTTAATCAGCAATAACTCAATTAATTACTTAATTTGCCTTCTCACCAATGAAAAAAAAACAAGATTGATTTGGCAATATTTTAATGCCATTCAGTATTTTCATTCAAAAGTAATAATTCAATTAATTAAATGTATCTGAATGAACTTTTTTTCCTGTAAAAAATAAAAACATATAATAATGGAATAACAGAAACAGACACAGCCCATTGCAATCCTCAAAATGTTAGAGATTTCATTCAATTATATCGATATTTCCTATAGATATACATTAAAAAACACAGTCTTGAGCCCTAAATGCTTAAAGATCTCAGCTCCAGAGGGGATTTTTGTCTAAAGGCCGGACATAGCCGTGTCCCAGGCCGAGCTTTGCTGAACTCACCGCTGCTTTATACACGTCATCCATGTCTGCGGGTCCCTTCTGGCCTGTGTCACACCACTCCGCTCAGGTACACAACCACGACTGGCCAGAAGACTTTCCTCACTCTTTTTTTGTTGAGATCGTGTTGCCCTAAAAAGCTCTTGACACATCTCCCAACATTCAAGGGCGATGGAGGGAGGCGCGACAGACGCGGAGAGAGAGAGAGAAAAAAAACGGAGAATAGGCATCTATAAATGGGAAATAACAGTAGACCCCCCCCCCCGGAATAGTGGAGCACTGACAGCAGCACCTATGTGGAGAATCTATATTTAGGGTTAAAAGCTGCACCACGCTCCACTAAGGAGGGGCTGGGACTCAGGTGGTAGGGTGACCATCAACCAATCAGAGGGGGTTTGGTCCCAGTGCCTCCACCTGCCAGAGCCGGAACAGGTTTCTGTAGTTAGAAAGTCTGTGGTGTCGTTGTGTACCTACTGTTTCTAGATGATTTTGGTTAGTTTAGAATCTGTATTTGATCCTGTGTCCTTTTCAGTTCTTCTTGTTTCATGTTCTTGGGTTTGTTTCCTATCTCTTAGTTCTGGTTCACGGTGTCCTGTTCCTTCTTGCTCTGTTCTTTGTTCTGTCTGTTCTGTTCTTTGCTCTGGTGTCTTAATTTCAATTATTTGAAGTTCTGAAGTATTCAGAGACGATATGGAGAAGCTCAAAGGTTCAGAATTAAATGAATGGGCGCGAAGAAACTTTGTCCATATAAAAGTTTACAGCTAAATTCTATGTTCAGTTCTGAACAAAGAGATAAATACAACCTCAGACAGACAACAGCTCTATCATATCGTGGGAAAAACTCAGCCCCTTACTGGATTCAGGGTTCAAGAAGCATCCAGGAGCTGCTGATCAGCCGTCTGAGAGCAGAACGTTTGCTGGGTTTGCTGGGTTTGGTGGGTTTACTGGGTTTACTGGGTTTACTGGGTTTGTTGGGTTTGCTGCCCTGGAGCATCCGTGTGTGTGTTTACACAATGCCAAGGAAGAAAGACACCAGCTACGATCTCCAAATATTTTTCACATATACATGCATCAGTGTACTGTAATGTTCTAGAAATAGAAATGTCTACATTATATGCTGAAGTACACTCGTGGTTATTCTCCCACCCAGCATCCCAATAATAATCCCAAGAAAAGAAAGGAAAAGGAACACAAGGAAAGAACTTGCAGCGATTTAAATATATTTAGTTAATTTAAACATATTTAAGTCCACTGCTTTACTAGAGGAATGTTTTTCCTTAAAAAGAACACGATAGATTATGCCTCAAACTCACCTGTTTGAAGGGTTTTTGTTTTAAGATTTGCTCTCTGAGTAAAGACAGCATACAGACACATCAGCATATCGGTTCTGTAGCACCAGGGGGCATGTATGAAAGTTATCTGTGGCGCACAAAAGAGGCACTTTTTCCCTTTTTCTCCAGCGGAGAGCTGAAAAGGTGTGAACAGCATCTGTAGACAAAGTCCAGGCCATGATATCTGCCCTTTGTTCTGAGTAATAAGCATTAGTGTTAGAAAACAGCTCATCAGAAGGTGCCATTTCCTTGAAAAAGGTTCTAAGATTTCTTGCATAAAATTTGGAAAATTTCCAATTTTTGCTCTTACAGTTATTGAACTAGTGGGACTTGTTTGGAGGGGACTGGTTACAGGTGAGAGCATCTCTTCACCACAGAGAGCTGGGCAGCATGGCTTAAATTCGACAGGCTGCATCTGAACAACACACAAGACTTGAGGAACAATGACCAGTTGAGAGAGTGGACCAAGGTGGAGATTTCAGGGATTGATCATTTTACACTGAAATTAACTTCAGATTTATATTATGAAGTTAGTTCCACCAGATGTTGAATCACAGGTCTTCTCACACCCCGTTTCTGCTCCCAGGACTACAAAAGTGCTGCGTAGTAAATATTCAGCAGAGTTCTGGGCTGTTAAAGCCCATAGTATCACTCACTAAAGATTAAAGTAAAAACAAAGCACACACGCACAGGCTGAAAAGCCTTGGTTAACTCATAGCTATTGTCATTAGCATCCAAACTCTTTATTTTTGGATTTCAGATTTAAATGAATGATCTTTTTACTGTTTCACTGTGCCCGCTCTACGGAGAACTCAGTGGTCTAAATAACAATAGATACACTAGCAGGGCTATATTTAGTGTGCGTCCTTGACTGGGAATAGTTGCCCTTTTCTAGTGGGTAGGGCTGTTGGGGTAGCGGGGCATTTAAAGAGAAAAATCTCTGCGAGACGTGCTTTATGCCGGATCAGATGGCACCCACCAATCAGCAGCTGCACAGGCCCACGGGTCACCAGTCTCACAGTGTGTGCAGGTTCCAGGGCTGTGTACTACTGGCCTCGTTCAGAGGAAGGCTTGCTAACTCCACTCATCGTGCACATGCTCCCTCCAAGCTGGACTCATAACTGTCAGGATTTCTCTGCAAAGCCCACAACGACTCCTAATTTAGAAATGACTCTGTGGTAGAGAATGAGAAGAAGATGAGGTCTTTCTTGTGGTATCCCACTTTCCCAAAACGTACTCTTACCAGAAAACTCTCAATAATCAGGACCTATGGAAGTACTTAGAGATGTTAGTGAAAAGAGTCGGGACTGTAAAACAGAGCACAGATTCTAAGTACACATTAGAAACATGCTGAGGTGCTTTTATTCAGCTGATTTAACACAGAACACAGGAACATTGACATGTTTTGGATTAGGTATGACGTTCTTCTTTTCACCCCAAAAAAACATGCAACTTTCCCATTGGTAACCAAGTACTTAGATTCAATTTATACAAAAATGTTCAAGGTATTTCAAACACTGAGTGCAAACAGCATATCGTCATATGAATAGTATATTATTTTTGTCATGGTCAGACTTTTTCAAATCTGAGAAGTTATAAGAGACAAAGAAAAAATATACCAAACAAAAATACTGACCTAAAAAAAAAAAGAAATGACATTTCTCCAAAAAGCTGCAAATGCAAACCTACTCATATTTTCTAAAGAGATTCACACGACAGTTATTTGTAGGAAATGTTCCATTGATGGGCGCTTCACTGGTCATTCTATGGCAGGATTCTGAGCCTTCTCCGAGATCACCGTGTGGATCTTTCTGAGATTCTGTCGGACTCTGAAAAACTCCACTAGCTGGGCGTCCACCCGCCCGGTCTCATCCTGCTCCTTCTTCCCCTGAAACATCACAGGAGGCATCGGCAGTCAGCAAACCGCCCGCTGGTGGAGAGAGAGCATCCAAACGCACCGGCCAGGGAACCAGGAAACCAGAAAACTAGCATCTGTTTTCCAGGGGAGGCCAAAAAGCACAGCCAGAGCCAGACACAAAAACACAACTACCAAAAATCTACAAATAACAAAACCTGGAAAGTCAATGGAAAAGTCAATGGGGGAAACATAACCAGAGGTAGACAAGAGGTCAATAAAAACAGGATCTGGCAAAGATTGAAAAGACTGGGAAGCCTTTTTAGAAGCGAGTGGGACCAGTGGGTGAAGGGCAGGTGACCCAAGGGAGATGAGGAGAAGACAGAGCAACACAGGAAGCTGAGAAACCTATCAGAATAAAACACAGGAAATGAAAGCATGAGAAAATAGAACGAAGAAAAAACCCGTCAAAACCAAAATCCAGAAAAAAATCCAAACAAAACCTTGGATCATAACATTGACACTCCCTAATAAAAGATGGCAAATGCATAACATAAAGAAGAATAAAATCAATTTTCTTTTAAAAGACAGAAAATTAGAATTAAAACTGCCTCCAGGGGAACGTCTACAAACCCTCAGTGGTCTTTTATTTTTCTTTTGAATAATTTAAGAATTCATTCAATAGTTTCTTCCAGTTGGAAGTAGACTAAAATGTGTTTTTTTATTTCTGAACTCATATACAAAGTAGGCGAATTACCTCAAGTTGTTTCTGCTGACGTCTTTGCATCATGTCCTCTAAAGGGGATCGTTTCCCCCCCTCCCCATCATGGCCGCTCTGCAGCCTTTTCCGCCTCTCCAGCACCTGCTGAAGCTCCGACCGGCTGCTCAGCACCAGACCTCTGCACCCACAGGAAAAAAGCAGAACCATACACCATAAAACCATAAAACCAAACATCCAAAAGGCGAAGCCATGCGTTTTAGAGAGCTAACCAAACGGCAGGTCAAAACAGTGGAGAGAAGAGTAAAGAAAGGCAAGAAAGAGCACTGATAATGTTACAGTCAAAGTCTTTCTCTGAGTTGAAGACCTGGGAAAACAAGGGCCTTTTTAGAGTTAGAGTTAGACCTAGAAAATTAAGAGAAAAGGGCAGTTTGTGCCAGCAAATCTTTCCAGTCCGGCTTTTCTGGCTCAAAAAGCCCCTCAGAGTTTTACTCAAGCTTTGGGAACGGAGGAAAGCCTCCTCCTGGCCGAGATAAGAAAGCCGGTGCTGTAACGCTCTGATTCAACCAACCAATCAGATTCAACATTATGCACAACATTGTCCAATACATGTCAGTCAAGTTGTTTTTATTATTCAAAGGCATTAAGTACCGTAAACCTGAAATTGGACATATGTTTAAATGACTAAATGTAAAATTAAAGGGAAAAATAAATGGAGTAAAATGCATATCAATTCCTTTATCAAACTTTCCCTTTTGGGTGACGTTTCGCATCCTCACCTTTTGTGCATTTTTGAGTATTTTTAAAAAATAATCACCTTCCGCAGAATGATTGTGAGTGAGTCCTTGTCTGGACCAATGGCACGCGAGCAGGTATTTACACCCAGTACCGGCACAGTCAGCTTTCCTGATGACTCACTAATGATTTTAAAACACCTGAGCTGTCTTTTCCTCTTTCTGATGTTTGTGCTAAGTCCATAAAGTGTCTCCTCAGAGCTGATGAGTGTAAA